ATGCTGTGGGCCCTTCGAGCTTTGGGGAGGGGGGGGGGGGGGGGGGACGGTCTAAGAACAAGCCGGCTCTGCGGTTCAGGTGGATAACTTTTTTTTTAAACCTAGACAAAAAACGACCACTTAACGCTTGCAGTGCGGGGGTAGCGACCACTGCAAGGGTTACTGAACTTTTTCCTGGAGTTCTTTTTTAAGATTTGATGTGCCTGGATTTCTGCTTTACGTAGGTAAGCCAGAGGGTCACATTACCAGCCAGAAAATGGGCATTTTCACAAGGAGGAGAAAAAAACCAATTGTATGACACAAGAGTTCCAATAACCGGCCTCCGCTTTCATTTCCCACTTCCTGCTGCCAATACAGCTCCCAGACTCTCTCTCACTACACTGACTCCCTTTGGAGAATGATTCATGATGTCAGTGATCGGCATGCCATTGCTGCAATCACCTCTCATCTCACTATCACACAATGGACTGCTGTAGGCAGGGGATGACCATTCCTGACCTAGTCATTGGATTTCCCAGCAGGTGACGAAGTGAATGACCTGACCATGGATAATTAATATCCTGGAATCATAATTAATATCATGGAATCATTAGTAGCATCTGACCATCACCAGCTGCTTAATATTTCCAGAAAGAAAAAAATACATATTTTAGAATGAATGCATCAAAATAAACAAATTCATTTCAAAATAACGCAACATGTTATAGCAACAATGATACAGACAATCATTACATGACCATTCTATCACATATGGTATCTGCCTCTGCTAGCTTAGTCTCTGTTTTTTTTTATTTTACATCTTCCACATCACAATCACATCAAAGAACGATTTTATTTGCCTCATTCTTTTCAAATTCTATTTCCAATTAAGATTATATTTTTTAAAAAAATCTATTTGCCATCATTTTATTGAATGGATGCTTCTACTGTCTCTCTCACTGAGAAATCCCATTCTAAATAAATGACATGCACACATCAGACAAGATCCATCCATCTCATATTTGTGAATGGTCAGTATGATTGTAATAGTTGGAGTTCAGCAGCTCCATCCTGATAGCAATGACCTGGTCATGCTGGCATGTGAGCTTGCCATTGAGGAAGATTCTGACATCCTGCTATCTCTTGGCATGTTTCCATCCCCAGCCTCGCCCGATCTCTTACCGACATGGGTGATGACAGTGGAAAGCCTCTGTGTTAGCTCCTGGTGTGACATCTCTTCTTCCTTCAGCCAATACAGCATTTCACAGTGAAAGATGTTCTCCCTGCCCTGGCAGACTGCAATGTGCCGGTGTGTGCGGGGATACAAAGCCTGGCAGTGCCACTCCCAGTTCTCCAGACTGACATCCACCTGTCACTAGGCAACGCACGCTGGCACCAGTCAGCTCCGACCCCCTTGCTCTGCCCGATGGCTGAACAAAATGCTGGCTTTAGAGCCGTGCCCGCTCCGAGGGCTTCTGTTTTTCTGTTGATGCTGCTGGTGCTGATGCGGCATTCCCTATTCAGAGAGGCAGTCCATGGTTTGCAGGCTCAGTACCTGCCTCCAGGGGCTACAAGAAGAGATGTGGTGATGTAAAGGAAATCCCGGACTGATGGAGCCCGAGGACTGGAGTCTGCAAAATCCAGGGTCATAGGGAGTTCTAGATCCAGATCAGATCGCATGTGCTCAGCAGCACCTACCTGCAATCACATCTCTACGTGCTCTGATTTCAAGGTGACCTTACTCCAAGCCATCATAGTGTCAAAAGGATTCTGGTTTTTATTTCTGCAGATGTTCCACATGCAGGGTTCTAGTTATACTGGACGTGTAGTCACCTCTGGCCATGTTTTCATGCAGCTTAGGACTATGCATTTCTCTGGACCCAATCTGTGCACTATAGGAAAGAAAGGAAGAAAAGAAAGGAAGAAAAGAAAGGAAAGAAAGAAAGAAAGAAAAATGTGCATTTAATAATTTTTTGCCTTGGTGCCTCAATGGATCACAGTGTAATACTCCTGTAGACTATTCCCCCAGCCTTCGGTCTGTATGGATCTACAGTTATGGAGCTGGAGTAAGTTATCAATATAGACCACAATGGGGGGTATTCATAAAAACTAGACATGTGACCCTGAAAAAAAATGTGTTTCTTTTGGATACAATCTGAATTGTTTTTGAGATTTCAGATCCGAAGTTTGATTCAGTTCATTATTCAGATTTCTGATCCGTCCGAATTTTCATTTCGGAACGAAGTCCAGCCCTGTAATCCAGCCCCCAACAGCCCCCAAAAAAACCATTTGATTGGCCAGAGAACAATTACATGTCCAAATTAGTTTCCTTCTGAATGGAATTCGGATGGATATGAATTTTTGTTGAACAAGCCCTCGGATTCGTTCACATTCGGACACGTTAGAATTCGGATGCATCCGAATGTTCGAATTTAAGGAAATTTGTACGAATATCCATTTGGAACAAAACAAAATTTACACGTCTAATTAAAACAGGAGCAGACAAAATCTGGAACGGCTGCCCATGGAATCCAATCAGCTTCTCTCTTTCATTTACAAAGTTTAACTGAACACACTGAAGAGAGAAGCTGATTGGTTGCCATAAGAAAACTGTCTGCTCCAGTTTTCATGAATCCCCCCCCAATGTGGTGACTTTGCCGCACATGAAGCCCATGTAGAACTACAAGTCCCCCTGCTGCAGATCCTGTGAATGGACCTGTGAGTGAATGACATGACTGTATGAATTCAAAAATACAGAGAGGAGAAGCAATCCATGATTCAGGTAAGTAGGGGGGCAGGTTTAGGTTGGGGGCTGTTTGATATTACAGCCTAAATATGGGTAGAACAATGGAACATGGTATTAAAGATAACATTAGCCTTTCATTTATGACGCTAACACACCAGAACAAGTATACTTTATTATTATTATTAAGGATTTATATAGCGCCAACAGGAAGGCAGTTACAATACAATATGGTTAGGAGAGCCCTCCCCGTGAGAGCTTGCAATCTAAAAGGTTTTCAAAAAGCAAAACTAATTTTCAGTCCAATGAAATTTGTAAATTACAGTCGCGTGGCTAAAGCTGCATCCTTTTGTTAAAGCTTTGTGAATTGAGCCCGATGTCAGCTTAGTGATGCTGCTTTGTCTCCGGCACATAAAGGGTGTGAAGGATGGAGAGCAGCTGCTGGTTGTGGTTACAGAGCCACCAGACCCTGCACCCCTGGGGCCTGTCCGTCCTGTGACTTACTAATAATTGTGCCTGTCTACACAAGGCAAAGCCCCAGATGGTAAACAAATCAAACCAGAGGGAAAAAACGATGTTATCTATTGCAGCACTCCATCTCCTCTCTATCGCTGTCCCTACAGTTTCATAAATAAACCTAAATAGAATCAAATATGTTTTCGTTTTGGATACAGTAAGGCAGCATTTCTCAAATTCTCATTTTTTCAGCCACGGCACCCTTCAAAAGTATGCGAAATCTTGAGACGCTCCAGTAAAAAAAGTACGTTAAAAAATGATGTGGCCTCTCCACAATCCATACCAGCCCTTTATCCCACCTAGGGGTCTGGTATGGATTTTAAGGGGATACCCCACACAAAATGATAGGGTTCCCTCCTTCACATCAGAGTCCCCAATTAAAATCAGGAGCTCCACATTACATTAGGAGTCCCCATTTACATTAGGAACTCCATTCAAATCAGGAGCTTTCTCCTTTCACATCCGAGTCCCCTTCACATCAGAGTCCCCCTTTACATCAGGATTCCCCATTTACATTAGGAGCTCCCTTCACATCAGGAGCTCTCTCCTTTCACATCAGAGTTCCTCCTTCACATACAAGCCCCACTCAACATTGGAAGCCCCCCTTGACATCAGTAGCCCTCTTCATGTCATCAGAGTCCCCCTTTATATCAGGACTCCCCATTTACAATAGGAGCTCACTTCACATCAGGAGCTCTCTCCTTTCACATCAGAGTTCCCCCACTCAACATTGGAAGCCCCCCTTCACATCAGCATCCCTTTTAATGTCAGATTCCCCTTTCACATCATAGCTCCCCTTTAGATTAGGAGCTCCCTTCACATCAGACGTCTGCCTGCACATTGCATAAGCATGATACTGTGCAAACATTATAAGACACCCCTAAGGGAGTCAGTAGGCATAGTAATAGAGTCATTTCTTTCCTGCTATCCAGTGGGAAGATTTCCCATCATTTCCTATACCAGAAGCACAACGGGAAGTGAAGGAAAATCTCTACAAAATTGAGGCAAAATCTTCTTTTCCAGTTCCAGTGACAACTGTAAAATATTGCATTTTTCTTCTTCTGTACTGGTCACAATGGTCACCTGGGCAAATAGAGAAGGTAAATCTCCTTAGTGGGGACAAAGGCAACATTAAAAACTCGACAGAGGGTTTATCTTTTCCCTACATTTTCCAAAACTCAGCAGAACATTTTAACTATAGATATCATTTAATTTAATTCATGTAGCTAACAGGTCAACCAATAAAGATGTACTTTAGACTACCTGCATCCAAGGGTGTGTATCTGTACCTGTATGGATGTGCACGTTTGGATCGGTGTGTAGCTATATGCAGCCACGTCCTATGATTGAGCTGTACAGGCGGCTGCACACAGTCACACGCACCAGCTGTCCCTCCCAAGCACAGGTTTCTGCACGGATGTGCGTGCTGTATGGTCTCAGGGATCCCCTTCTAACAAAGGTCATATCCATAGCACATGTTACTATTGGTTAAGAATAGTTACATAGTATTTGAGGTTGAATAAAGGCACAGGTCCATCAATAGGAATAATAATAATAATAAATAAAAGAATAAGCATGTGGTGTACCTAGAGTATTTGACACCCAATGCTGATCATATTTTTAGCACTCCTATACTGTAAGCATCAAAATTATGTTATGTCAGAAATAATCATGAAATGCAATAATTAATAATAATAATCAGGAAAGAAATATACACAGTGAAGACAGTGGAGAATTGTCCCTTTACATCTAAAGTCAAAGGTAAAGTGCTTCTTAAACATTGGTGGTCTGTGGAAAAGTACCCCTTCACATTGATGGTCAGTTAAGTCCTTCTTTATAGTGATGGTCAGAATAGTCCTCCTCCACATCTTTTGTGGGATTACCTGGGTCCTGATGCCATGACCAGCAGCCTTTTGGTTTGGTGGGTCTGTTTCAAGGAGAGAGGGGGAATGCTCCATACTGTGGGTGCAGGAATTTGAGCTGGAGAGAGTTCTGTACTGGAGGGTGGGGGGATTTGGGACTTAAGCGAGAGATCTGTATTTGGGGGACTCTGGACTTAAAGGAGAACTATGGGGTTAGAGCTTTTCCCCATAGTTCTCCTTAGGGTAACGGGAGGACACAAACTAGCATCCTCCCGTCACCCTAAGCTCAGTATACTGCGAGCTACAGCTCACGGTATAATGAGACGCCGCAGCTGAAGTGGATCCCGCCAATTATGTCTGGATCTGCCCAGCTGCGTGAGTGACAGCTGGCTCTGCCTATGTAGAGGCAGAGCCAGCTGTGCCCGCCCCCTCCCCTGTCCGTTCCGCCAGTCAGCGCTGGAGGATCGGAGCGGGGAGGGGGGGATCCAGCCCCTCCCCTGTCACGGCAGAGAGCCGTGACAGGATCGAGAAGTGAGCGAACGTCGGTATGTGCTCACTTCCCGATCTACTGAGCCAACCTGTGACAGTCTCATTGTCACAGGTCGGCTAGAACTATGAGGTGAGTGAAAAGCACCCACCTCATAGTTCTCCTTTAAAGAGGAAGCTGTAGTGGGAAGAAGGGGGTAATTTCCGTTGTACTCTGTAAACTGGATTACACTCTTTTCACCCCTGTGCACTGTGTGTTGTGCACCCCTAATGCATGTACTCTGTGCGATACCTACTCCTGACCAAACTCTGGGTCTGAGTCTTCCAACTACCATGAATACTTTCTATCGTCCTATTGGATTAAGTGGATGCCCACTTTTTTTTGTGGCAATTGATGTGCGGGCCTATGGGAGTCAAGGAGATTCCTGCATCCTTAGGAAGTCCGTAATGGGAGGAAGGATGCCATATGTGATTGTGGCAGATGAGGCATTTGGACTGGTGGAGAACCTGATGCGCCCCTAAAGTGAACATGGACTTAGCCATAAAGAGCAGATCTTCACTACTGAATGAGCTGGGCCCATTGGATGGTGGAGTGCACTTTTGAACTCTGTAGTGCTAAGTGTCGTATTCTGCTTTTCGCAAGAACAAAATCAAAGTGGTGCTGGCTTGCTGCACGCTCCATAATTTCATAAGGGAAAGGAGAGAGGGTCTTCAGACCTTTCAGCCCAGAACCCTGCTTAGAACATTCAGTTTACCCTAAAGAAAGAGAGTTTGATTTTATTGGCTAATAAAAAGCCTCATGTTTAAATCCTTATTTCCTGTTAAATGTTTTTTTTTCTTCAAACATAAAGTATTCCTCTATAAAACGTCCTAAATGGTAAGAATTGTCATTTCACAGCAATTGCAGTATGGCAAACAAAATGGTTTTACTGTGTACCATTGTATTCTCAAATCATATCTTAGACACCCTGTGCACCTGTGAAATGTAATATAAATACATTTTAT